TAATATTATATATCGTATTATATTAATAATATTTTATTATATAATATCTCTGTTGTTTGTTTAACACCCCTATGGTTTTTTTGATATTAGTGATCTGCTGGCAGAGAATGTCGCACGGTATTAAGGCTGCCTTTTGCTTTATAAATATAAAAAAAAAAATATTCCACCGTAGAACTTATTCAGCAGCTAGGCTGGATTGAGATCAAAAGTGAGCCCATTATAAATAAAAATAAAAAAGATTGCGTGATCCTTCGACAAGAAGATAATCACATAAATACATGAAACGAATAAATTCTAAGAATCAGTACGAGATATTTTAAAGAACAAAGATAAGTGGAGGAAATTCCAATATTCATACAGTTCGCGAGAAAGAGAGAACCTCTGAATTATTTAGCAGCGCACCGTCTTTTGAAACATGGCCATGTTATTAAAACATTGGAACTACCGCTATGTTTTCCATTAAAACATTATATTTGTGACGTAGTATTAATTATAAAAGATATTCTGAGAAAGTAAAAGTATGTGCTTTCAAAGGTAATATAAGAACTGAAGTAATAACATATATCGGGAGGTAAAAATTAAATAAGAATACTTTAATACCTTTCATTAAAACAAATTGTATAAAAATTATCCTTCTGTACAAAGGTACATGGGAATGTTTTAAGACAATTTTTTTTTATTTCGAAAAAAAGTCTGTCTTAAATGTCATAAACCTTTAATATTTTATAATAATAATAATATAATAATAAGCTTTATTTTTTCCACACAAAACATTCGCATTGTTACAGAAAAATAAGATAATTACAATACAATTTTTACAAATAATTTCAATTAAATAATATATATATGTATAATTACTAATTTCATATGTATTATGTATGATAGGTATTTAATATTCTAATTCAATAAATTCATTGATTGTTTTGTATGAACCCCCTTCGGGTAAAAGCCTCCTCCAAGGATTTCCATTTCTTTTTATCTTTAGCTGTAGTTAGCCAGTTTTGGCCTGTTGTTGCTAGTAGCTCGTCTGCCCACCTGGCACTTGGCCGGCCTCTGCTTCTCTTGCCTTGTGGTCCGCGCCATTTAACAGATCTAATAGTCCATCTGTCGTCGTTATATAATATTTTATACTTATTCAAAAATATATTTTGGTTCCTAAATTATTATCACCCTATATAGTGAATCATGATCTACTCCTTGCAATTCACTCACGCCTGCGTGTTTCCTCTATGGAACTGGGATGGTTCTCTTCATATCTTTGGGGACGCAGGCATGCGACACGCCACAAGGACAACTTGTCTGATTGGTGCACTTTAACGGCAGGTGTTCCCCAGGGCGGAATTCTATCTCCTTTACTTTTTTCTGATTTCATTAATTTGATCACTCCCATCCTTCAAAACTCTCATCATCTTTATGCAGACGATCTTCAAGTTTATGCACAAGCTCACAGTGAAAATGTGAATGATGCTATATGCTCGGTCAATAGTGATTTACAGCGGATCTCCGACTGGTCGACCAAGTTTGGCATCTGCGTCAATCCCAGTAAGTGTCAAGCTATTATAGTTGGTAGCCGGTATGCATTATCTAAATTGAATATGAGCTCTTTAACTCCCCTGATATACAGAAGTTCTGTCATAGAATATATGCCTCATGTCTTAAACCTTGGACTTTCTATAGATAACATGTTGAATTGGCAGATTCAGGTGGATTGTATTTGCCGGAAAATCATAAATATCTTAAGGTCTTTCAATCAGTTTAAACATTTTCTTCCGATTTCGAGTAAAATTCTATTAGCTTAATCCACTATTTTTCCTATCCTTGATTATTGTGATGTGTGTTATACTGATATCTCCCAAGAACTTCTTCACAAATTGGATCGTTTACTTAATAGCTGTACATGAATGAATAATGATCCATGTGCTCCTGGATATCTTAAATGCAAGTTTCAGTATTTGGGTGTCTCTCACAATCGAAATCTTCGCTCAGACAATAAATTATCTCTTCTCACTCCTTTCCACCGAACTGGTTTTATTTCAGACTCATTTACTCTTCAGGCAATACGACTCTGGAACACGCTCCCTACCAATATACAGAAAGCACCAAATAAGATCTCCTTCAAACTATTAGTTCGTGAATATCTTTTAAATTCATCATCCTCATCTGGTTAACCCATAATTTAGTTAGATATGTATATTTATATGGTTGTGTATGTATGTGTATATATTATATATGTATGTGTGTGTGTATGTATGTGTATGTGTGTATATGTATATGTATGTATGTATATTTATTCATGATGTTAATTTATGTTTAGGATATTTTAATAAAGTAAGATCTAAATATTTGTCTAATACATATATAATACTGATCTTTTCGCACCGCCTCATATACTATCTGTACACAATTCTACAGTTGACTGGTAGAGAATGCCTGATGGCATCAAGTCCGCCATTTGTATAGTGTGCAAAAAAGTTTAAATATATAAATAGTGTAGTATATGTGAATTTGCTACTTCATTCATAAACAGTAATAAATAGATGTGTTTCCTATTTTTGTTCAAAATAGGTAAAGTTAAACATTGTATACTTTGCCTTTCTATTGTAAACGGGGAGGTCCCCCATTAACTGACAACCCAACACGATATTGGTAAGATTTTGCTCTGTATAATACAAGAGGAAAAATAAAATAGCTCTTGACGATTTTGATCTTAATAAACTTCGAACGAATTTCTGTTTTTTTTTTTTATATAGTTCAATCAACAAACTAATCTGAATCAACAACTGACGTCAATAGCAATATGAATTATTATTACATAAAATCTATCAAAGCACCACGTTTTCGAGATATACCTAAACAATCACAGTTGGTGTGGTGATATAATACACATAAATAAATATATACAAATCAACATCACATTCCTCAGTAAATTTTCCATATTGATTCCACTGAGAATCGAATCCTTTATACGAGAATCTTTGACTTTGGTTTCTGTATTTTATTGCTTACTCGTTTAACTGATCTCCTGAGATTTCTTAAGCGTATGATATAATGTACCTAGCCTCTTCTCCCGTAGGTGAAAATCTTTTTTGAAATCGGTACAGTAGTTTCGGAGGCTATTTATTGCAAACAAACCAACAATCAAATCTCTTAAATGCAACAATAACAGTTGTTAAAACTCTATAGTTTGAACGTGACTCAGTGGGTCCAGGCGTTAGCACAAGTATTTAAATGACATTTTGATGAGTTTATTATCAGCTCGCTTACCCCGAGATCTCTCTAGATTAAGTTTACTGAATTTGTGGGACACTTCAACATGTTTAAACATTTTATCATGTATTTTATATTGTCAGACGAGAATAACAAGTTACTGATCTTAAAGTTTAATTTACTTAGACGAAGGATAAATTAGAAATTCGTGACAACGTCGCAATAGCTTTTTTCTAAAATGAATGTTTTTTTAAATTGTCTGTATTTGAACATTTCATTTTTAAATACAATCATAATTTCTATTAAATATAATAAACAATCAAAACAAAAATAAGCGGATTAAATGAAGTGTCCATAAAATATCAGAATTCATATCAAAACACGGGAAAAATAAAGTAAAATCGTGGTTTATAATGAGTTCCGAAAATAGTATAAAAACCAGTCCAATAAGATTTAAAGCTAATATGTGCATGGAGACTTTGGTATTAAGCTTAGGGTAAGGTAAAAAACCGATGGTGTAGCGAAGAAAGTAGCAAAATAAAATTTAAAAAAAATAGTCATGGTAGCTTTGTCTATCGTAAATTAAACCAAAAGTATTAAAAATAATACGTGTGGCCTTTAATTCTAGAATTTTTTTATTCATTAATATCTTTACGCTGGGGGCCTTTCCTTACGGGGTAGGCAGAAAACACCAAGGGCCACAGGCACGTGCTTACATATATCTTTCGCCACCTCCATTTTCATTAATCTTCTCATACATGCTCGCCGGTTTTAATGGCATCGCTAATGAAATTGGAGAGGAAATACTTCTTTTATTCGCCACAAGCTTTTCAAGTCAATTATATTAGAGAAAATTTTGATTATAAGTACTTTAACATTAACATTATGAACCCGTCTTGTATAAAATTATTATTTACGTATTGGTGCGCACAAATAAAAGCTTGTTTTTACATAACTTTTTATATTTTTTCTATTGTGTTCCAAAAAACTTAAATCCAAAATCCTCTTTTAGTCAATCTTTCATATATTTTTTTTTTGCTATTATTAATATTATTAACTCTGCTACAGATCTGGTTACCATGAAACATCAGATTATCGCAATCAATATTAATCTGAAATATCAAAACAATAAAGTGTAAAATGGATTGGAAAAAAATGTTGTCCGAGTAATCTTAAGTGGTGTTTACTGTACATAACATAACGTAAGTCTAGCTCAATGACCCTGAGCTACAGACAGATAGTCTACCTAATTGTCAGACTAACAATTAGTCTTTGTCTGATAACAATATTGACAAACTAAAACCAGTGGATCAGTGTGACGCAGAACAGTTAAGATTTCGGAATACAGGATATTTTTAACTAGATTTAGAATAAATACTCTATAGGACATTACATTGTTATTCTTACATCGCTTTCAAATGTAACTCAAGACTTTTGAAATTTCAACCATTTCAATCGTTAAGTGAAACACAAAATAAATATGAAAATGTTTAGGTAGGCTTTTGCCTATGCAACAGATATTACAAAAACGTTAAATAACATTGAAATTGCTGAAATTTTGCACTTCAAATTGTTAAGTTAAGAAAGAACATTATAACTGTTTGTAGTATAATTAATCAATATGGCTAAATTAATAATATTAGGCACAAGAATCATTTTAATATTCAGCAATTTCTATTGGATTATAAGGAAAATTTCGTCGATGTTATATTTTTTTTATGTTATACATAGATCAGTCCGTTCAACTTTAAGATTAAGGCATAACCGTTGTCTTTTATATGACGTCGACTAACCTTCGTGCAGAAATTGCAGCCGCATCCGGAGATGACGGTGACGTCATCAGCGGCCGCATCCTCGAGGCAAAGCTTGCAGTTGATCGCCACGGCAGGCATGAACCCACCCGCCCCATCCAGGGAGTATCTGACAAATAAGATTATAATTACCCTCTTATCCTGTAGGGATTGGCATATTTTAGCTACCACGAGTTCTCATACGAAAGCCACGCGTAGCAAAACCACCAAACATGGGTTTAAATTTAACTTATATAATATATATTTATTAATAGTGAAATATGATCAATATTGAAGAGTATCCTATGAGAAACGCACACACTATGGAAACGACCATAACCACATAAGTAATGTAATTTTGTGTATAAACAGTGGATCATCGTAATATTATATAATGATTGTGATTATCTCATTGTTCCATTACAATCGGCTCGTTACTTCAATCAATTTACATACATTCTTAGTAAAGCTACTTTATTATTTTTATGATTGGATTTCCCAGAATTGTATTCATTAAAGTATTTGTTTATCATTCTTCAAAAAATATGGTATACTTTCTCTAAAAAAAAATAACATTTTGCATCACTCTAAATAAGGAGTTTTATTTTACAATTTGTAGTCTAAATTCGTATCGCTGTATTAGAATAATTCATACGCGTCATGGTTCTACCAATGTCATGCAAATATTGAATTTCCTTAATTTCACGGAGAAGTTAAAACAGAGTTTTATCATCAATCAAAAATGAACATATTTTAAATGTTTAGAAATTATGTTTGCGTTTTACAATAGGAAAAATAGTAAACCGCCGAATATTTATAATAAATAAGCATTAATTTCGAATAATGTCACGAGTACTTATTAAATTTTTTATTTATTTAATTCTTAATGGACAAAAAAATGTACATTGGCGGTCTTAATGCATTAGGCATTCTGTCCCAGTCAACCTTAGTGTACTGTGGGGAAACTGAAAGTGGGGAAGGTGCACAATGAAAACTAATGAATTAAGATTTCTTGCCAAATAAGTGGATACATAAAAACTTTTATCTACCTATAAAACAAAGACATATAAATCGATATGCATAAATAACCTACATATACTATATATATACATATAATAAATATACGTTAATAACTAATGAATCGACGAATCCAGTTCTTTCAAAAAAAGCCACGCAACCTTCTCTTAAAAATGAATTTTCGGTGCACATTCTGATTTTAAAGGGGAGTTTATTCCAGAAAAGGATAGCCCTTACAAAGATCGAAGAGAAAATGAAAAAGAGTATTTTCTCTTGAGCTATAGGATACTGGCAGAATATGACAAAATCGTCAATATAGCTATATACATAATAAAAAAGTAGCATTTGGCGAGTGATCGATAGCACTCAGTATAGAAATGTGGTTAAGCTTAAGCACTTGTGTAAAGGAAATCTGAAACAACAAATAACTGTATCGTTGCAAGAAATCCTTAAGACTAAATGATCTAAGAAGATTAATACGGAACGGTCCTGCTTGATTAGCTATCCTCGTATTAGAACCTTCTTTTGACTTTACATCAAATCTATAATTGGTTAAAAAGCACAAGAAGCACAGGAAAATTAAATCACCTGGATCCATTGCCGGCGAGCGAAAGCAAAGATGAGCACCGGGAGCAGACAGAGGGCGCCCTCAGTCGATTGTGAGCCCTGATAGGTTCTGGTGCTTTCTCGCGTTCAGTCAGTGCTAGCACTGTCGAGCATTTCCTCAGACCTGTGGCAAAAACACAAATCGTCAGTCAAATGTGTCAGCATACTTAGTTTTTACGATTGACAAAATGGTGAGTAAGTAGTAGCTTGAGATTGCGAAAGCCAAAAAAGCAAAGACAGTCCAAAGATCAACCAGTTGCCGGTAAGACATGTCCACTTGATATTAGAAGCAACCAACACTGATACGCACAACACTACCAGTCCAGAAAACGATTAGATAATTTGTTTTCTTTGGACAATATGATTGTCGAATAAGAATTGGCTAACGCAGTACGAGTAACAGTCGCTTGGCTAATGAAATAGCCGTAAAAAAATATGAAATTTTAGTGTTTTCATTTAGTACTATAAGTGTAGGTGTACCTTGTGATGTTTGTTATTGTTTTTTCATTACGAAATCAAAATTTGGATACTATATATTATTTTCGTTTGTCTGATAACCGTTTGGATTTTATTTTCTCTGGTTTCTGCGTAGATATAGATATTGTCAAGAAACCTTACAGAAAAACAGAACGTAAAATACTTTTGGCACACCGAAATTCGTTCCGGGATTAAATACGTAACAAATAGCTTAAACAAAGGACTAAAGTACATTAAAAACTTATAAGAAAAGGTTATCACTAGTCTCTACTTTCTTTATTTTATTGGCCGTCTCTTGGCCTAAGTTTTAGCGCGAACTAAGATACAAACCGCAATAGAAATGGAACAACATTAGTGTGTAATGAGTGAGAGCCGGTCCGGTAGTGCGTAGGTTACAAAAACTCAATACAAAACCAGCATTAACACAATGGCCGCGACGAACTAATAAGGAAGTTTTGCGGAATGCAAGTCAGGGATCTATTCTCTATCCATGAATAAGAAGTGAGCTATGATTTTGAGATATAAAAAAAGATCTATTGCTTTGAAAATTTACTGATAAGGAATTGACTAGAATAGTTACTGCGACATAAAAAAAAACAGTTCAATTTGCTTATAACAGACAAAGAGAAATTTTATTTTGTTAATAAGCACATTTTATCAGTGTATCACGAGAGTCGGCAATTGGCTCAAAGATATATTTCATAATATCATGCCGTGGTTTACCCAAAACAAAAATCATTAAGTTATTTACGTGACACATGTTCGGGAGAGTCTTGGTTTTAATTAATATTAAGAATGCGGAGAGCTATTTTTTATTTTACTTTCATTTACCTAATATTTCCTATAAGATGAGAGTGCTAAGGTTTATTTTAATATTGTTAATTTTGAATTAAAATTTAATAAATATACTTAAAGCAAATGCTTCTACATTTTTCCTTAAGGGTATTTATTTATATTGTGAATTAAACATTGATCAAATATTATTATCATAATTTGATAAAGCTCACGTAACATCTTGTTTATTCTACTTTCAAAATCGGATTAGTGGGTTATCTTGAGTTTTATCAATAAACTTATCTATGTTATGCCTTATTATATTTAAATTTGGAATTCTTCTTCAAAGTAAGTTACTTTACAAAACATATACTACTTGCCAATTTTATTGTACGCAATTCAATCAAAAGTTTATTACGAGGGTCAAACTGAAAGTTCTTAGAACTGGCCACTTATAAACAATATAATAAAAAAATAATTCTAAAATTTGAAAATATAACTCTTTGCCAATATTACTGAGTATATATTTCATTCATTTGTCATTTGTTTTACGATTTGGCGGCAAATTGAAAATTGTCTGTGTCACGTCATCATGAATTTAACACGAGAAAATTTTCGTGCAATGATTTTTTATGACTTTCGATGTCATTTAAGTCAACAAGAAAGTTATGATAGACTACGATTGGCCTTTCACGATGAAGCCCCATCTCGTGCGACTGTTTACAACTGGTTTAATGAGTTTAAACGTGGTCGCACTAATCTCACTGATGATTTACGTGAGGGACGACCTTCTACGGCGACGACTGAAGATAACATCTGTGTTGTGCGGCGTATGATAGAGACTGACAAAAGAGTGACCTATCAACAGATTCGGACAAGCTTAGGCATCGGTATGAGTCAAGTGCACAAAATCCTCCACGAACATTTAGCGGTCAGGAAGCTTTGCGCCCGGTGGATACCTCATAATTTGACTGAGGCTCAAAAACTCCATCGTGTGGATTGGTGTCGTAAAATGATTGAAAGATTTAACGGAGGTGACTCAAATGCTGTGTTCGACATACTAACAGGTGACGAAAGCTGGATTTACTGTTATGATCCTAAAACCAAAAGACAATCTGCTCAGTGGGTGTTTCCTTTCGAGGAGTTGCCAACTAAAGTGAAGAGAGATCGAAGTGCGGGAAAAAAAATGGTGGCCTCGTTCTTTGGAAGGATAGGTCATTTTGCAACAATTGTGTTAGAGGATCAAAAAACAGTTTCTGCAGAATGGTACACTACCAATTGTTTGCCACTTGTCTTGGAAAAAGTTCGAGAGAAACGACCTCGCAGTAGGATCCTCCTTCACCACGACAACGCCTCGTCGCACACCGCCAAGCGAACGATCGACTATTTGGCGACATCAAACGTTGAATTACTGGGTCACCCGCCGTATAGCCCTGACCTCGCGCCTTGTGATTTTTATTTATTTCCAAAAATTAAAGAAAAACTTAAAGGAAAGCGGTTTATGAATGCTGAAGAAGCGGTGGCTGCGTATCGCGATGCCATTGAAGAGACCCCTAAGGACGAGTGGGCAAAGTGCTTTTCCCAGTGGTTCCATCGCATGCAGCGGTGTATTGACGTGAATGGACAATATTTTGAAAAGATATAATAAAACTAATAACTGGCTAATGTAATCAGTTTTTGATTTTCTAAGAACTTTCAGTTTGACCCTCGTATTATATTCAGACCTAGTTGTGTTATTTGTCAATATTTTCTCAAGAAACACTGAGCCAGTATAAATTGCCAGTTTCCGAAAATAAATCTGAAAGTAAGTATATCATACATATTTCCTCCACCTATTCTGCATTAAATAAAGGGTCACTTCAATATCAATACTCTTAGAAATAACTAAATATTCTACGAGCTGTTAATGGGCCAAACAGTTCGTTCCGTAGCTGTGCGTAGGTAAACAAAAAGAAGAGAGCTCATTTTTTGACCCATGAACTTAATAAATAAAATAAAACAAACATTACATAACAAGAAATAGAGATAAAAATAAGTAACAATGACAATTGGGTCATTCAGGACCCTGTCTCAGCTTATGTTATTAGGAATGTTAAGACATAGTTTGCGATATTCAGACAGGGCCTGTTTGTGTGTGACGTGCAACTAAATAATTATAAATAGGTATATAAAACCATAATTATTATAAAATAAACACAACTGATATATAATTTTTCTTTTTTTTATGGAATAGGGGGCAGTCGAGCAGACGGATCACCTGATGGTGAGTGATTACCGCCGCCCATGGACACCTGCAACACCAGAAGAGCTACAAGCGCGCTGCCGGCCTTTGAGGGACGAATATGTTCTACGCTTGAAAGTTTGAAGGTCGTATCGGTCCGGAAATACCGCTGGCGAAAAACTGTTCCAGAGTTTGGCTGTGCGAGGCAGAAAACTTCGAGAAAAACGCACGGTTGAGGACTTCCAACCATCCAGATGATGGGCGTGGATTTCTTGTCGCGTGGAACGATGGCGGAAAGTAGCAGCAGGTATGAGTCCGAACAATTCCTCGGAGCATTCCCCGTAATAGATGCGATAGAAGATGCACAGTGAAGCTACATCTCTACGCAGGGCCAGTGGATCAAGCCGACTTAAAGTGATTCGAGTCGCTCTCCGCTGAATGCGGCCGAACCTGCGTCTTGTAAAGCTGCAGGCGATGCGCCGGAGTGAAATACTGCCTCGATCTATTAAGCACACCAAGCTTCTTAGATGCTAATTTAGCTTTTTCCTTTAAGTGACCACGGAACTGGACTCGCTCGATATGTCGACACCGAGAATCTCAATATTGGCTGAGGCAGTTAGGGGAATGTTTTGAAAGCGATGTGATACGACAAAAGGGGCTTTTTTGGCGGTGAACGCGCAAACCTGTGTCTTAGTAGGGTTGAAGTGGACCAAATTAAGTCGACCCCAGTTAGAGACTTCCTCTAACGAAGATTCAATATCAGACACAAGTGATTCCGGCTCTCAATGACGCTTTCCCGAGGAATATTAGCACAACCGATATAGGTGGAGTCCTTCGTGCTGTCATCCGCATAACAATGAATACCGCTAATTTGCAGCATGTCATTAATATGCAGAAGAAAAAGTGTAGGTGATAGCACACATCCTTGGGGAACACTAGCATTTTTTAGTAGGTTCGAGCATTCACCGTCGATCAAAACCTTAATGCTTCTGTCTGCCAAAAATCTAGTGACCCATGCACATAATTTCTCGGGAAGCTTAACGAGGGAAGTTTTGATAGAATAGCTTTGTGCCACACCCGATTGAAGGCTTGCGCTATGTCCAAACTTACTACCAGGGCCTCCCCCTTTGTTTCAATTGCCTTAGTCCAGTTATGTGTCAAGTAAACTAGAAGATCGCCAGCAGAGCGACCACTACGAAATTCGTTTTGTTGGTCACTTAGCAACTGGCGATCCTCTAGGTACCGAAGGAGCTGGCGGTTGATAATGGACTCCATTATCTTTGAAAGCAAAGGGGTTATAGCGATCGGGCTGTAGTTGGACGGGTTCGAGCGGTCACCTTTTTTTGGGATCGGATGCACTAAAGAAGTCTTCCATGAGGTTGGGACAACGCCAGATGAGTAAGAGAGCCGGAATAGGCGCGTTAAGACCGGTGCCAACTCTGGAGCGCTTATATGAAATATGATCTTAAGGTAAAAGCCTATAGCGGTAGAAAAGTTCACTTTATAAACAATCGTCTTCGTGGGTTACGACGCGAACGTTGTCCATCCATTGCTGCTGAGGAGACATGATGCCAGGAAGACGCTCTTCACCGACGAGAAAATGTTTACGGTCGAAGAAAAGTTTAACCGACAAAACAATAAAGTTTACGGTAAAAGTAGCAAGAATGTCACATTTTCTGCACAGGATGTCTCGCGCACTTATCGTCCGGCTAGTGTGATGGTATTATGGTGGGAATTTCGTATGAATGCGTCACTCCGCTCAATTTCTGGCAACAAGGTGTCAAGGTGAAAGCCCTGTCTAATACGTTATTTCACAATAAACATTGGGTTTTTCAGGAACTGAACAAAGATGAATCCGTGGCCTCAGGAGATGAAGAGACAGTAGCATTGATTTTATACAATATAACGGATGATCAAAAGCAACATTAGTTCTAGAATGACATTTTTAAAACGTGATGCGACATTCTAATCATTACATTATTATCTGTTATCATGAATCAGGCTGTGTCACGAATTATTATTTTATCTATTATTTGTATAGCTGGACTGAATTGGAATTGAGGAACTGCTAAGCCTTACGGCTTAGTACGGCTTGATGTTGCTTTGACTTCTTTGTACGAAACTGTGAGAAAAGAGCGTCCTTTTGTCTTATTCTTCTGATAAGTGCATGGTCTTCTTTCTGTCTTTAACGTACTAGTAGATTCCTCTTGTAACAGCCTAGACAAAATAATTGACATCGATTTGACATTATAGACGATGGCCCCACGCTCATATATATATATTTTAAAAGAAAACGATTCAAAAGTGTGTTCATGGCGTCACACGTTTCTCAAGTAAATGTACTACAAGAACACATATTTTACTATGTATAGCGAATTTCTTGAATCAACAAGTTATACGAGACCGAAATGTTTAAATAGAACGGAACAAATCACGATTCAAAGCTCAACGTACTGTATCGTCGTGTGACCTCAATTCAGAAAATAATAACGAATTTATGAAGATCCCAACACAGCCCGAGGGTGTGTGCCTGGATAATAAACGTTTAGTTATTCAGGGGAGCCGGCAAATTAGCTTTTAGGGCTACGACACATGTACTTTTGAGCAAAGACAAAGTATTTGTGTTCACTGAAGAGATCGCTATGCAAATAAATTTATTTTCTTCAGATCGCTGAGACATTAAAAATTTAAATTAAAAGAAAAAAATGCCTTCTATATGTTTTCCTGTAATCTATTGATTTTACTTTTTTTCATTTTAGGCTCAGTAGTTCCTGCAATCGGCGGGGCGGATATTGCTTATTTTCGCCCAATTCGAACCGATGGATAAATACGGTAGTTTTCGTATATACCTTTTGAAGTGTTGAAAATATTTCATGTATTTTTTGGACCGAATTCATAGAAAAATTGATGTCATTTCTTTGAAATTCAATACATAGTTGTAATCACACAATTAATTACAATAAAAAATATTATAAGGTAAGAAATGAATATACATATAATCTCACTCAATTAGATAAGAAGTTATAGATTATAATAGGGGAAAAGTCATGGCAAGTATCATGTGACTATGCCTTTACAAGACAAAAGTACCACAGTGATAAGGTAAAATGAGAAGACGCGACATACATTTCATAGAGATTGAAATGTACCTACCTACAATGTTGCACACTCGCAATGAAATGGTTTCCAGTTCCCTACATCTAATTACCAAATTCAGTTCAAAATTTCAGGCAATTACTACGTCATTTTGTAAAGTTGATCCTTATGTTTTAATACGAGACTTCGTCGCATATCTAAATTAAAACATAATATTTACCTTTATTTTCTTAAAATTAAATCTTTGAATACTGTATTAAGTTAGGGAATTTTGATGAGAAAATGCTTTAAATTGTCTTAATAAAAATGATATGTGGTAGAGTTACGATAACCAGAATGAAGATGAAGTTTGACAGCAGAGCGAAACAGAAATGCAATATAGTTTGAAACTGTACCTACACCGAAAATCACTATTGGTTTTACGAGAACATTATACCCATTTTACCGATGAAAGCAATAAATGACTTTGACTTTGAAGTATATGTGGATTAAAAAAAAAAGATCGTTTTGAATTCCCGTAACGAAAAACTACCTATACTTTAGTTTTTTTTATTTTATATAAAAAAATCATGTTGCACAGCATTTTTGTTTGCAAGTGTATTGTATGTATTCTAAGTATGTAATAATTTATCACGTATAATTTTTTTTTTACCAATTCTTTATATAAGCTCGTGATTCACAATATTAGGTATGATACAATAGAAACTTAATTGTGCATTAATATTAAATATACGTTTAATTATATGAATCGACGTATTCATTCATCAAATAATTTATTGTATAGGCAGGTATTGAGCTGCCTTTTTTAAAGGCTACTAATATTAAACTGAATAGGAAACTTGACGGATCATTAATAAGTCGTCGTGGTAATAAAAGTTTTTAACACGTGTATATTAAGAACCGGTAAAGACCCAAGCTCAGTCAAGCGTCTTACGGAAGTGTGCGTTAGTACGCGACGGATAATCCGTCGTGTGCGCAATGTTGAATTTATTTGTCAATTCTGACGTTCCGCTACGTACACTTCCATAGGTTGTGCACCGACCCGACACTGAGTGCAGTCGGTGGTGTTATTTAATCAACAACTATATTGTTAGTATATTCATACCTAATCATTAAAGGTTATATATATGTGAGGTTACAAGTGGTTTTTGTTTATCATAATATAAATAAGTGGTAAAATTAAATCAAGATTATAAATTGCACAGCAGTAAAATATTACATTTTCGAAAAAGTTCTGTCGCAGCCTAGAGGTTTAGGTAAATAAAATTATTTAAAAACGTAATAATGATTTTATTTTCATTTGGTGTAAATAACAAAACAAACTAAATATAAAAATATAAAATAAATGTATTCACAGGTAAAGATAAATATAGTTATATTTATAAAAGAGCTACCTTCTAACAAGGGCTGTGGTTGTGAGAGCACCGAATCCCTAGAGGCTGCTCTCCGGACCGGTTTAGGCGGCCTCAACGACTTGAGACCGCCGCTCAGTATCAGCTCTAAAGCTCGACGTCCTCCCGGGCCCGTCGCGCCTGCTCCCATCTGTAGACAAAAAAAAATACACTTTATAATATTTAAACATTCACATGTTAACAATTTTCTGACATTGTACTCTCCCTATTATTTTTAAATGGATCCAGCACCATATAAACAAAATATATAATTCTAGATGTATCCTTTCCCGCTACTTTTCATGATCGATTCAATATTTCTGAATATTACAAACAAAGTTGTAAACTTTACCTCTTTAAAATATTGTAGAGAAACACACGTTTAGACAAACATCGAAAAGAGAAAAGGCATATTAAAGCAAATGTCGTTGTTTCCAGAATTCTACTTTGTACATCAAGATGTGCGACATCGATAGTCTAAATCAGGGGTCGGAAACTGTGACCAGTGGGTTCATCGATTGACACATTTGATTATTTTAAATGACCCACTTCCGTTCCGAAAATTAAGTACTTATCATATAATAAATTATAAAAACAAACATGTTAGCATTTGGAGAATGTAAAATTATATATTTCCAACCAACACTTTTGTACTATAAATTTTATATTATAATAGTTTACCATTGTAAATTTGGGCATGCAAAAATTTGGCCAATCGATAAATTAATGCATAATATTCTTTTTGCCTTATGATTAGACGTCGCAAAGAAGATAATGCCAAGTCTGTCATGTCATACAGTTCTAGGCTGAGACAGTATCTCTGATTCCTAATTCACATAGTCCAGTCACCTTTCTTAGATAAAACCTAGACGATTTTCATCTCCCATCTCTTTCTTTACTCTTAGTGTATGTCTT